GCGAGGCATTCCTATAACTGAGGAAAATTTTTTTAGCGGCTGCTGGCCCTTGAAATTTGGACCTTCTTGGCGTAGAAGGTTTGCTGGTTATACCACATGACAAAAAATAAGGAAAGACGGACGGTAGAAAAAGAAAATGGATTTGGTAAAGAAATCTTCCTTGGAGAATAGGAGAAAAAATCGCTCTGGTAGGTCATTTGTTATGCGAATGACAAGACGAAAGATGGCCCAAACGAGTCCTGAATGTTGCGAAACAGAAGAGAAGAAATAGAGGAGAACCAGACTTGCATGGCAGCAGGGAGTGCAAAGAGATATGACGGCATGTAGAAATGCAAGATGATTTTAGAGTCCAAATAGAGAGATGGCATGGAGAACTAGAGCGAGAAAACTGCGAACCATGAGAGCAACAATGCATATTACTATATAGATAATTATTTAACGTATATATTATATATAATATATATATATATATTATATTATAATAAATGAATAAATTGACAGTTCTGGCGTTGAGAGTAACGATCTTATTTAATTGGCTGTCCGGTCGCGTCCATGGCAAAGGTGCCGACGTATTTCATTACGTCCTGAGGAAGGTCGCAGAATAGCGATCGAAACGTCGGCACCTTTGCCATGGACGCGGCGTCACCCGGACAGCCAATTAAATAAAATACTTACTCTCAACGCCAGAACGAGAAATGTATTTATTTTTTACTTTTTCAATCATTAATTTATAGTTTTCCGTCTTAAATAAGCCAAGTTGCATCTTAATATGTCATCTGTAAGTATTTTTAAAAAATTTTGGAATTTATATAGCATGTAAGTGGGCGTTTTGATACATCGTGGGTGTTGCTTTATATTTTTCTGCTTTCGTTGTAAGAAATAGTCTCATAGTTCGGTTTCTTGTGTTGGACACTGCTTCTGGTAACAATTGAGGGTTGAACAGCGTCAAAATATCGGAGTTTGTGTTTGCCCACCATACGGACCAGGAATGCACTGAAAATAAAGGAGTCATTTCCCGTAAATTTACAATTTAACTTTAGGGAACATTTTCTCAAAAACTACTAATAGGAGGATGTTTACATTTTAACAGAGCATGTAATTCACCAGGTTATATACTTTAACGAGGCTGATTTATATATTGTTAAATACTTTAGACAATATAATTATAAATGTTAGTATTTTAAAAACAAAACCGATTATTTCAATCAAAAAATTAATTTTAAAAAGCTAATAATTTTTTTAACGACTTCATTAAAATGCTTATAAATATTGAATCTACACTCTGATAAAATTTCAAGCATCTAAATTAAATAGCTTCTGAGACAATGTTCCTTACATTAACATGGCCCAGATAGGCCATTCCGACTCCCTTAAACGCCAGTGGACAGGTGGCTAACCTGGAACTAAAGTGGTCTATAGTAGAAACAGAGAAAATCAATGAAACAAAAATCAATGAAACGAATTATATTGAAGGTTCCAATATTCACATATTATGAAACCTTTCGCATGGATATAATAAGTAAAGATGTAATTAACATTGAGTAGTCCAAAAGTATCATTATTTAAACCCTTTTCACAACCTTAATACAATTTTTAACAAATTATTGCTACATAGACCACGTAATCATTGGTGCCACTAATGAAGTTATCGATCACCTCGATGGGCCAGCAGAACATCCTCCGCCTCGTTTACTGTAATACTCCCGTGGTTGTGATGTGGAAGGGATAGGTAAAGGGGAGATGCACTGGAGGTACAAATGTTAACAGTTTCTTTAAATCCTACATCTTCTTAAGAGTTAGCAAAATAGAAATATTTGCCATTTCTGGAGTGGAGCAAGGAATCTATGATCTGTAGGCCAACAGATCGTTGTTTTATATCAAATGATTTGTAAATGTCCGAGTACTCATCATCATAATGCATCACAGACAGTCCTTTGACTCGACCATTAGGACCTCCTGGTGGGAGGAATTGCAGGCTCGCAAATCAAAGGATACAAAATATAAAGTAAAAATTGCTTAAAATGTAAAATATCTGTTAAGTTCTTTCCAAAAGTGCAAAACCCCAGGTAAATACAGATTGAAAATTCAGCTTCCAACGGACCGTAATTATTGAATCTCCAAAATGGTATTTTTTGGCTTCTTTTGTTTCACATAAATTATATTGGGATGAGGCAATAAATCTTTGGAAAAATAACTACTACTCTAATGAATATTAAAATACCTCTTACTTTAGATTGTCGACGAATCCGAATTCGAAGTCTGCGTTGACCATGTCTTCGAGGCTGTTGATCCGCGACTCGAGGCCGGGATTCGCCAGGAAGCTCACGAGCGCCGACTGATACGCAGTGTTTATCTAAACAAGAAATAGTTTCAATTATATTATGACCTTTCTTGCACATATATATTTTGAACAATTTCTTACTTTTAACATAAAAGAATTAAAATCTAGTGCCAATGTTTTGATGTAATTTTAAGAAATCATATTTTTTAAACCAGTTGGATAACTATTTCAAATTAAATTTGACACAATCACTCTACTGTTTGAACACCTGAGGATGGTACTGATGTTCGTTGATGATACCAAACAAAATCCTCCATGTTGCTCTTATCACATACGAGATATTATTTTATCAATATAATTTAAAGTCACGTAGGAGGTTTTTTATTTTCGATTTTAAGACCACGATTTCTAGTTTTCTTCGGAAACTGTCTTATCAAACTGAACAACAACGAATTCTGAATCATTGATACTAAAATGTAAAAATCGCCGTCGCAGAGTAAGTAGGTTGTCCATTATCAGCGACGTGATGTCCATTCCAAGGTGCCGTCCCGTTGCGCTCTGACGCAAGACACCACTGATTTTAATCAGACCTCTAGTCGCAGACCTTAAAGAGCAAAGTGGCCCAGGGCCTAGCGCGCAGACTTTGCATTCGGGAGGCCCGGGTTCAATCCCCACGTCGGCCATTCTCAATGGGGTTTTCGTGGTTTCCCTCGGTCACCCAGACGAATGCTAGGATGGTTCTATTGAGTGTCCATGACCTCAAAACCGGCGTCGCTAGCGGAATTTGTTAACGACGAAGTGCCACGACCGCAAAACCGGCGTCGCTAGCAGAATTTCTTAATGACGTGAAATTACTAAGGTTAAGCGAATTCAAAACTTCGCGTATTCCCGATTGAGCGACCGACGAGGAACCCCGGGATCCAACGGCGCCGAGTCCAATTGCCCTTTACGAGACACACAATGCAAGTGGCAGGGCCTGCGTAGGCGCACCGTGAGCGTGTAGAAGAGCAGGGCGGCACCGAAGAGCCGGAGGGCGGGCGCGTCCAGCGGGGTGGCGAGGCCCTGGCCGAGCAGCGGCCGCAGGTTGTCCAGCACGCACGCGGAGGCGGAGGCGGCGCCGCGGCGGCGGCGGCGGCGAACCAGCAGCAGGAGCGCCAGCGCCGCGCAGCCGAACGTGGCCAGCACGGCGGCCCAGAACGGCGCCTCGAACACCACCACGATGCTGCGCCAGCGCGGGATGGGCCGCTCCAGCGGCACGCACCTGCGGCGCCAACGCCACCACACGCGCACCGCTACAAGCAGCCTTCAACGGCACTCATTCAGCCCACTACGGCTAGAGGCGATCCCTATACCTCATTTCCGCCGTAAAGAACTAACCGTATTAACATTTTCACCACATCTACTACTATATTGTATTGTGATGCTTATGTTGGCATATAGGCGGCCAAATTAATTTGAATTTCGGGCCACGCTCTGATCTTATTCAGTTTGACAACTCTTTGAGGTATTTAAGAAGAAAAGATTATACATTTTAAACTTGGCGCCTTCGTTTTAATTTGTTCCAAAAATATGCGAATTCTCTCACAAGTACAAAAAATTCATTTTATATTGAACTCTTTGAAATAAACCTTCAAACTGCTTCCAAAATTGACCGGTAGGTTACACTACCTCCTGGCTTGCCGGCGAAAAGGCTTTGCACAATGTAGTAATGTTCCGGAATCCAATGTTTTTTCTTCACATTAGACGCCACGAGATCGTATTGTTTGAGAATCCGGAGCCGCGAGCAGTTTCGTAGAAGTCTAGAAGAGAAGCTAAGTAATATGCGTATTGGGCGCATTGAAGGTTTATTTTTTTACGTTGGCAGCACGGAATATTCTCCGTGAATAAGCGCTTCGAAACGCGGCAAAGCGTGAATAACGTAAGGAGAACGTTCATTTTCGTCTAGACTAAGGTAACCATTACACTATTCAATACATAATGATGCTCCGGCCTGCTCCCGTACACTATAAAATAAATGACCGCTACCAAGCCCTTATTAACACAGAACCACCTAGAATACAGTCTCAATAATTTGGTAGGTTCACACTTTGACATACATGACTTCCATGCTTTCTCTTCTTCTTGTGACTGACATAATTATGCATATTTGCATATTTTGTGTGCATATTTTTGGAAGCAATTTCTGTTTTCAACACGTAACACTGTTTTAGCTACAGCCCTGTGTCACTCCGCTTTTTTGGTACATTTCGTTGTAAAACAGTGTAACTGTATTCTCCTCTTGCGAAAAATTACTTAGTAGTTTAATGATGCGATTTTACATTGAATATACTAGTTTTTGAGAGAAAAGATTATTTCAACACTGCCGTCCCTTACTGACAATGCTTAAAAAGAAAATTTCACTGCTTATTCATATGCAAATCGATTTACCATCTGGCAAAATATAAATGACTATTACGCATCAAAAATGCATTGCCGAGATAATTAAATATTGAAATTTGATTTAGAAATAAATACACACGTTTCTATTTCTACTTAAAACAGCCATTACGTGTGCTTTTCCTTGTTTTTTCTTCACAGAATAATTATGCAGTTTCACATTATTCAATTATACGCTTACAAAACTATTCATAATTGTCTCAAAAGTTAACTTAATTACATAGTATAAGTGAGGTAGTTAATTATAATGTAATTATATTGCTGAATGATAAGTATAACGTACCAGAGAAAGTTGTTTGGAATAAATGGGTCCGAAGGATCCAAGTAATCAAAGTCGAAGTAGTTCTGGCTTATAGAAGCGAACGCGACTTCTACTTTTCGGTCTATCACCTGTAACATAAATGCATGACAAATAATATATCCATGATAGACACGTTTTAAATACAATACGCGTCTTTTGTCCAATTTGGCAGCCAAAACTTAGAGTACACCTGTTGGCGTCTTAGGTGATCATTCTTAAAGTGATATTTCGAACATAAATTTAGTGAAGGTGAACCGGGTAGAAAAAATTATATTTTTGTAAGTGTGCCCCCACCAAATCCAATGGCTGTTGTCAGCCCACATCTCATCTCTGAACGTGACATGGATTGTTTATTCATGGGCAGAAGAAGATAGAGAAATCGCTCTGGTATTGCTCTATGAAGACTATTTGTTGTTTATCAGGAAATGGGCAAAAATTAACTGAAAAAGTACGGGGAAATAGCATAAATAGATCATCAGATATCTAGGTAGTATTGCACATTACTTGGGAATTCAAATAAAGTTACAAGTATACTAACATACTTTTCGTCCATGTTTTCTTTTTCTTCCTGGGATTTTTGCAGCCTCAGAGGATGTCAATTTCGACTATTGGCGCCGGGTACCTACTATGACCCTGATGGGGTAACATATTAAACTTTACATTAGACACTGGCACACTTGTTGGTTCCTCCGTCTGTACGTCAGCAGGTTCACAAGGCAATCCACGAATACACACATACATGAAAGACAAGGAACAAACAACCACGCCCACAGGGTGTCTCGAACCCGCGACCCTTCAGTCCGCGGCGGTGAGCCGACACCCGCTCCAGCCACCTCGGCCATCCAGGTCGGCAAAACCTTTCCTCCGCGTACTATAGTAAGGAGGGCCCCTCAACTGCGTCACAAGCAGAAAAGGCCGTTACCACAGGTTGGGCGGCGCTGGCCGAAGGAATACGCACCAGTGGTGAGGGGCCGAGACTCCGGCGATACTCGGTCCACTCGGCCATTCCAGGTCGGGCAAAACCTTTCCTCCGCGTACTATAGTTAGGGAGGGCCCCTCACTGCGTCCAAAGCCGTACACAGGGTTGGTCGGGCTGGCCGTAAGGAAATAGCCCCCAGGTGGTGAGCGCGAGACCGCTCTAGCACGCTCTAAGCCACCTCGGCATCCAGGTCGGCAAAACTTCCTCCGTCGTACTATAGTAAAGGAGGGCCCTCACCTGTTTGCTGGTCGGCATAAGGCTGCTGTGTAAGGCCGTGGACGGTATGGGCGGGCGGCTGGCGAAGGAAATACCCAGGTGGTGAAGCCGAGACGCCCGCTCGTCAGCCACCTCGGCCATCTCGGTCGGCAAAAGCCTTTCTCCGCGTACTATAGTAAGGAGGGCGCCTCACCTCGTCCAAAATGCGCGTACACAGGTTGGTCGGCAGGCTGGCCGAAGGAAATACCCAGGTGGTGCAGCGAGACACCGCTACTAGGCCGCTCTAGCCACCTCGGCCATCCAGGTCGGGCAAAACCTTTTCCTCCGCGTACTATAGTAAGGAGGGCCCCCTCACCTGCGTCAAAGGCGTACACAGGTTGGGCGGCGGGCTGGGCCGAAGGAATTACCTCAGGTGGTGAGCCGAGACTCGTCATAAGCCGCTCTAGCACTCGGCATCCAAGGTCGGCAAACCTTTCCTCCGCGTACTATAGTAAAAGGAGGGCCCTCACCGCGTCCAAAGGAGCGGTACGTACAGGGTTGGCGCGCTGGCCGAAGGAAATACCCCAGGTGGGAGCCGAGCCCGCTTCTAGCATAGCGCGCTCTAGCCACCTCGGCCATTCCCAGGTCAGCAAAAACCTTTCTGCGCGTACTATAGTAAGGAGGGCCCCTCACCTGTGGTCAAAGGCCGATACGCACAGGTTGGCGCGGCTGGCTGGCGAAGGAAATAACCCAGGTGGTTGAAGCCGAGATCCGCTCGAGCCGCTTTAGCCACCTCGGCCATCCAGGTCGGGCAAAACTTTTCTCCCTCCGCGTACTATAAGTAAGGAGGGCCCTCACCCGTGCGTCAAAGGCCGGTACCACAGGTGGGCGGGCGCTTGGCCGAAGGAATAACCCAGGTGGGCCGAACGCTAAGGACCGCCTCTAGCCCTCTAGCCGGCTCTAGCACCTCGGCCCATGCCAGGTCGGCAAACACTTTCCTCGCGCGTGACTATAGTAAAGAGAGGGCCCCTCACGTGTGTCTCAAAGGCCGTACGGTATAGAGAAGACACAGGTTAGGGTTAGTGGTGACGAGTTACTGTGGTGGTGGGCTGATGGCTCGCGACGAGGATGATCGGTTGCGATAGCCGTGCGTGGGATCGAGAGTATTGTTAATCTTGGGCCGGATGGCGGGAGCTTAGGATGGTCGTCGGTGAAAAAGGTATCGCATGCTGTCGTGTGCAAGCCTTCTGTAGGCCCGTAGCTGGTAGTCGGGGCCTTGGAGCGTTGCCGTTCCAGCACGTCGAGGGGGCACATGATGTGCGGCTCGGACGGGAACGTGTTCACGCGCACCGGTGCAACCCGTGGCAGGTCGGTGACGTGGCGCCGTCGCAGGGAAGAGGTGGCACCTGGTCGCACGAAAGTTTCTTTCTGTTTTTCTTGTTGGCGTGGAATCGTGCTCAGGGTTGTCATGAAAAAGTATATTTTCAGATTATAGTTATTGTGCCTGATGGAAACTAGAGGTGGTTTATGAATATTTGCATTGATATATCAGATTATGGTAAATGAATGAATGGAGAACTGAACTGGGTAATGTTGCAAGAACTGTAAATTTGAAGCTTGAAACTGGTAGAATTTGAACTGAAACCTGGTAATTTGACTGTGATTACTGAACTGGTAAATCTTGAACCTGAACTGGTAAATTTGAGACGCCTGAACTGCGTAAAATTGTTGGATGACTGTTGTGACTAACTGGAGGTGAAATTGTGAAGCTGAACTGGGTAAATATTGGAATGCTGAACTGGTAAAGTGTTGAACTGATAGCTTGGTATAAGTTTGAACTGAACTGGTAAATTGAGTGAACTGGTACACATTTGAACTAAACTGGTAATTTGAAGCTGAAGCTGGTAATTTGAACTGAATACTGGTAATTTTGAACTGAACTGGTAAATTTGAACTGAACTGGTAAATTTTGAACTGACTGGAAATTGACTGATGTAAATTTGAACTGAACTGGTAAATTTCTGAGGCAATATAGCTGGAAACTGGTAAATTTGAAACTGGAACTGGTATTGAATCTGTAATGAGCTGGAACTGGGTAAATTTGAACTGAACTGGGTTAAATTTGGAACTGGACCTGGTAACTTTGAACTGAACCTGGTAAACTTTGAACTGAACTGCGAAATTTCTGCCTGTAAACTTTGCCTCTTAACTTTTACTTGTAAATTTGAAGTGAACTATGTAAATTCTGACTTGTCGCTTTGTATGTGCTCGTAAACAAGTCGTTTATATGTGCTGTGCATAACAAAACGTACCCCTTTTTAGTATTGGCGCAGTTTGGTTACTACATTAATATCCAAATTCTTAACGTGCTCTACCAGTCACATTCACTACACCCACTCGACATGTGAATGGCTCCTCTCGTCATGCATATGGTCGAATAATTTTCATCACACATAATGAACATACTGTGCTCGCCCACCGCATCTTTGGCTACTGGTCAACAATCAATTACCCAATGACGGAGACTTCTCGTTCATTAAGTAGAAGCTCAACATAGACATAGCCAATATTTTCCACTATGAGGTGAATGGAATTTATGCGGAGTATTAGGATAGTCTTAGGTTCCTCACAATGGGTTGGGTACATTTGGGTCCATCAACAACAACTAAACCAGGTTTGTTAAGAATTATTACGTTTTGATAGGGGGATGGGTTGATGGTTTCAACGATCCGAAACGCAAAATTTTGTCAGTAGACTATCTCCTGATGCATTCTGATGTCCGATTGCATCGGATATTTTACACAATCATGTCGATGTAAAAACAACGATCTGTAATCCTACTGAGGCCTTCATAGATTCTTTCAGAGCTCCATACCAGATATGCAAGTTTTGCCAGAATTATGCTTACTCTTAGAAGATTGCAGGATTTTAAAGAAGAACTTAGGAATTTGTTACTCGTCAGGTGCATGACCGTCTTTTACCTGTCGGCCTATGCACATGACTACCACGGAGCATTAGCACTAACGAGCGCGCAGGATGTTTCTGATAACCCATTCGAGGTGACAATAACTTCATTAGTGGCGTGGTTGTTACCAATTGCTGAAGTGGTCTACGTAGCAATAACGTTTTTTTAAAAGTTGTGTTTAAGGGTTGTGAAGAATAATTTAAACTAGTGTGGTATTTTTCGAGTACTATGTTAAATACCTCTTTACGCTACTATATCCATGCCAATGTTCATATAAATTGTGAATATTTTTTTGAAGACTTCAAATAAAACGCCTTAGCATTGATTTCTCTGTTCTTACTACTCGTTAATTACAGACACATTCAAGTCCAGGCTAGCGCATATGTCATTCACGGGCGCCCAGTGAACGACTGAGCTACAACACCATTTCCTTCGCAACGCTTTGACATGGGGGAACCCAAGCGTTCGAATACCAAGATGAGGATTGAGACATTAAATAAATTGCTGTGTGATACAACAGCACTGTCTGGAGGAGCAATCTGGCAGCGAGGGCCTGCTGTGGGTGGTTGTTTTTCTATTTTTCTCCGATCAATAGCATGGCAGATATCGAAACAGTAGTAATGTAAAGAAATGGGACCACGGAACATACATGATATTTTCTTCCTCACAGCTTCGTCCTTCTGCCTTTACCCACGCGTGAATGATAATACAACCACTAATACAATGCCGAGAGACAACACGAAAAGATTAGAGCTTGCCCGCGTTGGGGAGAATACTAGAGAGGAAATATTACACAAGCGGGCCTGTTGATTCGGACAAAGATATCACGTATTCCCAATGTCAGAGATTACGCCTGCCCAACCGTCTCTACTTTTAACAACCGAACAGGAACAAATGAATAGAAGTATTTGTACGCTATTTGGAGCTAAAGTAATTTGTCAGTCGATGCGTAAACTAAGTACTGGCTACATCAACTAATATATTCTTGCATAATTAACAAATTTTAGCAAATCTCTATTGTTTCAACGAAAATGAGACATGGCGCATTTTAAACGCCCTTTCGGGGATGGCACTGGGGGGAAGATGATCAAAGCGGTTCTTGATTGAAATCGCGAGTTACGAACACTTTAATAGTCTAAATGTTTTGAAGAGTTTTGCATCCGTTGCAATTAGATCTGGATTTACTGCACTTCAAAGGGATCTGTGACGGGTTGACGGTAAGAAGTATGTATGTGCAAGCTCAGTAGATACGTCTCTGCCTCCTGCCGTAGTGGGAAAGGAGCGGGGCATTACGACTGCGAGGAATGCGCATGGTGCCCGGCACTTCTGATTGGGCAGCCTGCAAGGTCTCGAGTGGTTTATGTATCGGGGAACAGCGCGAGGACGTTGAGAGTGGTGCGGTCGCGGCCCCGCACGTGGCGGCTGAGGCGTAGGCGTGGGTGCAGGACCGACGCTGGTAGGCGGTGGCGTGCACGGCGCCGCAAGGGTCATTCTTATGTGATGCGCCGCCAGGGGCACCAGGTCGAGACGAAGAGACGGCGCGCGGCGCCAGTGCGGTTGGGTCCTACTCGCCGCTCAGCAGATCTAATACGCGCGCCTCGGAGCGGCGCGCGAGTCACGACTGCGCGGCGCCGCCGCCGCGCCCGGGCCATCCGCGCCAACCCGCACGCGCGCCGGCGCGGGTCGACAGCGGGCTCCGACCCGCCCTCGGCGCGCGGACGCCAGTCTGCTGCGCCGACGGCTGCCGGGTACACGTCGCGGGAGCGACTTCCTTCTTGGGCGTTGCGTGGTGCGCCGGGTTGTTGTTGGGCGACATGCAGAGCAGCTGCCGGCGAGCCGGCCCACCCCGCACGCCCGGCAGCATCGCGGTCCTGTCTCCCTACGATGCCCTCTTCCGAGTCGGGCTCCTTTTCAACAACGCCATGAAGAATACAGTGGTCTAGGAACAGGAATTGTGAGGCAATCTTCATTCTTGCGTGGATGATAGGCGGGAGCGGGGAGGGTGTTATCGAATATTCGTGTTGCTCAGTGAGCATCATGCCGCACCGGAGTAGGCAATCCGGAATGGGCGCCGCATAGGCTCCGACGCACTCTTGTTAGATCCTCCTTCGTGGGTTCGCCCCTCCTTTCCAACCCAGCATAAGAGAACATCACTGGTCTAGGACAAATGTGGCAACTCTCTTGCGTGGGAGGCCGGGGAGGCGGGGCGGGGAGTATCTAATATTCGTGTCGCACATGCACATGCCGCCACCCACGCCCGCAGCCACCGCGCCCTTTAGGACGCCCCCCTCCGAGTCCCTCCTTCCAACCCAGCCATGAGAGAGAAACACTGTCTAGGAACAAATGTGGCAATCTTCTCTTGCGTGGAGGCGGAGCGGGGATTATCAAATATTCGTGTCGCACATGCACATGCCGCCACCCACGCGCGCAGCCACCACGCCCTTTAGATCGCCCCCCGGGGACCCTCCTACCAACCCAGCCTTGCGTGATAAACAGTGTCTAGAAACAAACATGGCAATCTTCTCCTGCTTGGAAGGGGATCGGAGATAATCATTTTGTGTCAATGAACTAGAGGTGAGTAACTATAATGGTATTCATATGTACGTGCTCATGATGCCACTCACGCCTGCAGCCACAATGCCGTTGTGGACGCCCCCCGGGTCCCTCCTTCCAACCGAGCCATAGAGAAACAGTCTAGGGACAAATGCGGCAATCTTCTCTTGCTTGGAGGTTGATCGGAGATTATCAGTTTGTGCCAACGAACTTAAAGTGAAAAACTATATAATGTGGTTCGTATTACACTTGCAGACACTCAGGCTCGAAGCCATCACGCCGTTTAGGACGCCCCCCGGGTCCCTCCTTCCATCCCATTCATGCGTGAGAAAGTATCTAGGAATAACGTAGCAATCTTCTCTTAGTTGGGAGGGGGATCGTGGATCATAACTTTTTCCAATGATCATATACTGGGAAATTTCTTACAACGATGCTCATGTCGCACATGAAATTGAATAAACATTCATAAAAATATGATATGTTAACAAAAATGCACCTAGTGTCAACAAGAACTTTTCAAGCTATGAATATCCCACCCGCGCAAATTTTTGCGGAAATGCCTTAGTTGGCAACGCTTCTAAAAGTTAAAATCAGTGTGATCATTCAGTTTGTAAATATCTTGTAGTTGCTATTTCTACAATTATTTATAGCCGTGGTAAATATATTTTAGCTTACTTAAGTCAAGTGAATCTGTTATTTGTGATGGAGAGAAATCAGTCTGAACAATGGAACGTTTTCCACATACTTTACCTGAACAATCTGTAACTACTACGCTTACAACAACCTTTCAGCAAAAAGAGGATTGTTGTTCCAATGGATACAAAGTCATTCGTATTGCAAAATTGAATTTATTCATATTGCATTGAATCCGTCGAAAATGTTACTAACTCCATCACCGCATCAACACAATCAGTGTTATTGTAAAGCTAGATCATTGAGATGCATGTTCGTGGTACTTGTGCTGAAAATTGTCCTCCAGAAAGTACTGAAGAAGAAAATGCAGACCTAAATCTAAATTTTGAACTACGGACACAGTAACTGCAATGTGAAGATGAACATGCGTCTGAGGACGACCACAATAAACAAAATGGTGCAAGAAAGGCGAACTAGGAACACGAAAAGTTACCAAATGTTGAACTTGAAATGACCAAGAAAGGACAGCCTAGAAAGGGGACACAGATAGAAGAAAACAAAGTCGAAATATGAAAAAAGAAGCAGACTTAAAGGCAAAGCATTTAGTTTTTCCACCATGTGACAGGTGATGAAATACAAAGAAACAATTTCAGAAGATCACAGAATAATAATAAATAGCAAATTTTGGGACATGACATATTGAAATAAGAGCATTTGTCCTTCGTTCATGTCAGTGATTTGAAGTTAAAAGGAGGACTACTGCCCAGATCTGCTATCGCCAAGAAGAAAAACAAACATATCTTATGCTTTGACTGGTGGTGTTGGACAATCATATGTTGTTTGCAAAGCATTTCTAGCCACACTTGCTTATAATAAACGCAACGACCGCTTTGTTTTTGAAGTGTTATAAAATGCAACTATAGAATATTTGCGTCGTCATCCTGATAAGAGATGCAAATATCAATCGATTTCATCTCTAACAAAATTTACATGAACATATCGCAAGTTTCAATCAACAAATCGCATTCTACCGCCGAGAACATGTACCGAATACAAGCACCGAACACGCACCGAGTACTTGCCTAGTGATGTAAATATTAATATGTATAATTTAATCATTACTGCATTTTACTCTGAAAGTAATAAATATTGTAATAGCACTGCTTAGTAATAATAAGCAGTGACTATTCCTGTCCTAAGATTACTGCACTTTTAATAAGCATAATAGATAGTTAGAGGCTAATAATGCTAAGAAAAAACGCAGTAACTGCTTTAATTTATTGATATAATGAAAAAATATGTTTTATAATTTTTATAAAATAGTATTTAGAAATCCAATTTACTTAAACTTTCAGTTACATACTTATTGTTACGTTCCGCATCAGCACAGCCTGTCAAAGTTAATCTCGTTTTTTCAAAACTTGGTTTTTGTGTAGATACTGCGTTTTTCTTTGTGAGGGCAGTAAAGGCACAAAAGTAAATAAAAATACCAAAACAGTCAAAATGACTGCTCCAGTAGTGTTAAGAAACCGCTTATCAGGATCGAGGATCTGATGAGCGGCAATTTGGAAACTGACTTGGCGGATATTGTTCCACCAAATTAAAACAAGCTCTCGTCTTTTCAATGAAGGCACTACTCACGATCTCGTCGTCGGAGGCGGCGGCGTCCGGGAAGGGCAGGAAGATGGCGCGAGCGCGCTGCGTCGCGTAGTGGAACCTCGCGCCGCGGCCGGGGCCCAGCAGTCGGACGGGCGCGGCCGCCATCTTGGGCCCCGCGGGCGCCATCTTGGACCCTTCGCTCAGCAGCCGCGCCGCGGCGCCCAGGGCGTCCCGCGCTTCAAGCTGGCCGCTCGCCGCGCTCCAGTTCGCTCTGCGAAACAATTTTGAGTCTTTCATTAGATTCAATTAGATTTATTTAGTAAAAAACTGAAAAACTGTACGTGACGGATCGGGTAGGGATGAGACATCGATATAGATGTTTTTGTAAAAACATCGGTGTTTTGAACATCTATGTGTTAACGACGTCGTTTTTTATCATCGATGTTTTTCCTTTTCCGATATTTTGTTTCTGAATGAAAAATTACCATGATCAGAATTCTGTAAAAATTAATATCTTAAATTATAACCGATGGTAACACTGATAGTTCACGTGCTAGACCCAAAGAAATACTGTTTGTACTATCTTCATCGGCCAAACTCTCTCGCCCGACATGACCTCCATGTCCTTGTGTTTCCCCTTCTTTCATATTCATATCGCGCATTGCGATATCGTCAATAAATATGCTGTGGGGTTAGGGTCTGTCCCTTCTTCTCTCTTCTCGTATTCGGCAAATTGATAAACACGAACGCTGTCAAATTAAATTTTAATGCACACGAATTTAATGTTAGAGGTTACTGAACGAGTAAAAATATCGATGTTGAAAAACATCGATAGATTTTAGACGATATATTTTGAACATCGATGTTTTCATTTTGAACATCGATGTTTTCATTTTGAACATCGATGTTTTCATTTTGAACATCGATGTTTTGTTATCGATGGCGCATACGTAGTATTTTATAAGTTAAGTTTAAGTAAGTTTATAAGTAAGTGAGATTGAAAAAGAATATGAAAATATAACTTTGTCTGAACATATGAAGAAATTCGAACAATTATTTCAGATTCAATGCTCCACACCAATAAAGAATAATTTAGGAGTACGTCATGTAAATTTTTTATATTTGAAAATAAATTGCATGTTCTCTGCAGTTTTTATAAAAAACTAATAAATACATAGTGTACGTACGTATGCATTTACGTCCATGCCCATAATGCAGAATCTATTAGAGAAACCCCATCATGATGACACCCCTTAAGACGATCACTTTTAGCTGCAAATTTAGGTGGTCAGCATAAAGGTGTTTCACTGTATTTGAAACGATATAGGATTGGTTTTCTTCTTTAGGTGACCGTGACTAAAATTGAAATGTCCATTCCTAATTCTCGTGACAATGTCATGACGTCTTCATCAGATGTGCATGTGATATCTCGAAAGGTGGAAAGCTTTCCTCCTCCCCCTAAGATACCAGATCCGGTGCTGACCTTCACGATGGCTGGTGGGGTTTTCCCCCTGCACGTAAGGAGCAACGCCCCAGCCGGGTTAAGCTTGAAGCCCTTGACTGATCTCCCGACATTTATGATAATGTAGCGCATTTAAGTGTGTGTCTGTGTAAGGGGAGAGAGGACGAGGACGAGGACGAGGACGAGGATGAGGATGAGGATGAGGAAGGAGAGATCGCGCGTGATCTGTAGCCCCTTTCTCAAAATGATGCTCCGGCAGACGCCTGTAATTGATCGGAGAAACGACGGAAAACTACCGCTCGCATCATCCGGCCGCAAGATTTTTCCTCCAGTCAGCTGTTAGCTATCTAGCTAGACTCAAAAATCCGCCATCGTCAGATCTAGTAAAACTCTAAGACTTCCGGTCAGGGACATTGCAATGGCAATAGTCCTTGTTGCATTGAGCCATGTCAGTCGGTGTGTTTCAGAATAAATGTTACAAAATTCTAATGCATGTATCAAGCAAGATCATCAATTTTGCCGATGTACGTGTGAGAAATCGTAAACCCATGTGATATGTGTTATTACACATCTCATATTGGACCTCGATTGTCAGGCAAAGTCACCTTGGTCTTGGCAGGGAAACGAAATGTCTTTGTGTACGTCAGAACTTATATATGCCAACCACCATAGCACAAAGAGTTGCTTACTCTACCAAATAAAAAACTAGTGATGCTGCCAAAGTACATACTTTTGGTGACAGAGAGAAACAGAGACAGAGACAGAGAGAGAGAGAGAGAGAGAGGAACTGCGAGGGAAAAGAGAGGCAAACTCAGAGAGAGACAGAGACAGAAAGTCAAAGAGAGACGGAGACAGACAGTGACAACAGGGAGAGAGTAACAAACAGAGATAGAGAGACAAACGGAGAGGAACAGAAAGACAGAAAGAAACAAAGGTATAGTCTGTCAGAGAAAAAGAGAGACAGCCAGAGATCCTGAGGGAGACACGGAGAGGTTTGGGTGATCTGGGCTGTCCGGGTGACGCCGCATCGAAGGCTGAGTTGCCGACGTTTCGACCATCCTGTCGTGGTCTTCCTCAGGGCTGGTATGCCCTGTTCAATACTTAATAAGGATTATTTGCATCTAAGAAATTTGATACCAGCCCTGAGGAAGACCACGACAAGATGGTCGAAACGTCGGCAACTCAGCCTTCGACGCGGCGTCACCCGGACAGCCCAGATCACCCACATGACTCTGGTCGCGGAAGCCTACGACTTCACGGAGAGGTTTCTTTTCCACAAGGATTGAATATGTAAAAAGGACCGGCCAACGGCGTCCGCGGAGAACTCGAAACGTACGAGGCAGAGTTAATACATTGACAATATGAAAGAAAGCCTCGTGTAAGCATATCTGTTCAATACTTAATAAGGATTATTTGCTTCTAAGAAATTTGATGAAACATAATAATCGTTCATTAACTTCTAAGAAAATATTGTAAGCATCAGCGAATTAAACTCGGTTTTTTCCTTTGAGGTAATAGGTCTCTTGTACGTAAAACTATTTGATGGTATGATGTACCAATAGCGCATAATTTATATTTTATATATTATTATAATACCGATTTTTCTTAATGTATTGCGTTAGTATTACCCTTTGCAACTACCGGCTAAAAGCAATTTTGTCAGTCAATTTCAGCTTGCTACTGTAACGTCTCTAACTTTCATGTTTCACTTCTCGATATCTGGAATCTTGGTTAGTCGAAGTATTTGATATCAAACTCCTTTCTTCTATCAATTCGAGTTGTGGACGGTACTTTGCGACTGGCCACTCACCTGGTCTCATTGGTGCTGATGAGTACAAAATTAATTCCCGGGAAGAAGCGATCAGCGACGTCGCGAGCGCACGAGACGAGTTCGGAGGGGAAGTGGGCGTGGCCTGGGAGGAAAGGCCTTCTGTCCGCGCTGGCTGCAGTCACTGCTCCCAGGACGTACAGAAGGACCGTGAGCTGTTGCATGCCTGAAACAAGAAATGTCACTAAGTCAATTAAGCATTTCAAATTTTCAGAATTAGAATTATAAATGTTGATGTTTTGATATTGGAAAGGATTGAGGGAAATATTACGAAAGAATAAACTTCAGAACTATTAACATATATAACTGTATATAACTATATTAGTTAATTGAATTGAGCCACAGAGTTTTTAACGGCAGTTTTTAGATCATTAAAATGTTATTTAATCTTCTGAGCAATTATATCACAAAAAGTTATGTTTTTAAGAGCGACGTTTACCACTTTATAAACATATTAGTAAAACGTGCGTACGTTTTGAAGTAACCAAAAATTAAAAGTTGGGTGAACAAATTTTTCGAGTATCATGAACAAGAAATCTATGTATCATTTAATTGATCTGTTGAGACACAGCTTCCAAAGTAATTTGATCTCGATTATAATATTTCTGTTTTTATTTCTAAGAGCCTTTTAAATAAAGTTGTTGCTGGATTAGTTGAGGTTTTACCAGAGCAATTGCCGCCAGAATGTCAAATGAGACTTGTTTTTCCATTCCCCAAAAAAGATTGCCTCAAAATGGTATTACCTGTCTCATTCCGGGCACTCACTCAATGTAAAGCATGAACTGCAACTTTTTGTGCAATGGGGTTAACTACCGTCCTACAATCATCAAATAAACACTTTTAAATTTAACAAAATGAAAATTATTTTGCTTGAATATAAAAAAGATTCTTATTAATTTCTCGTGAGTAACCCAACACAGAACTGTATCCTTTCTCTATTGTAAAGTTTCTAGAATGATATCATAGTGTCCTAGAATATCAACTTCTTAATCATAATATTTAATGTTCTATAACATTAAATTCTCTCAAAATCCAAATTATTAAGTCTATTATTCTTAACACCAGTTACTAAAAAAGTGGTTCACTAACGATTGGATAATAAGAACAAATTAAATAAAAATACTTGGAACAAATAAATACGTCCTTCGTTATTTTGATTCTTTTAACTATCAGTTTCAAATAAATACTATAAGTTAACTGTATGCAAAGTATATAATATACAATTGTTATAGTTGGGTTTTGGATGCTCACACAATTGGAATTGTGAGTGAAATGTGAGAGCCATTACAGGAAGCTCACTCTATTTATTGCATTAACCGTCCATCGTAAAATATGACCATGCATGCATCTCTGACTACCTTACATGTACCTACATTTTGAGGATGACATTTCCAGGACTGAACTGGCGTTCCAAAATATTTGGACAAGTTTATGACCACACTCTTGACTCGAAATCGGGTAGCTCCATCATTTTGCGAAAACCAAGCAGTATGTCATTTCATGACGTTTGCTTGGCTAGGTATCTTCTATATCACTCTGTAGCTTTTGATTGGCCCCGCTTTCTCATTCGTATGAGGGGTTTGTGATGGCATGCACACCTTCACAGTCTCTTTTGAACGCTTAAGTAAATAAAGAGTGTGATTAAGTACTAGTACTTCCGCCGTACCGATTTCTGTTTGCTGATACTTCTAGATTATCGATTGCTTCATCAAAAGCAAGCTGTATTCTTTCCTGGTGTTTGCTTAACGTGTTGTTGTGTACAAACGTGTTAACGACGATATGCATTTACGTTTTTAAACATGTTTTTGTAATCTTTCTTCATACGATAATGCGTATGAATCCTCCACTGAGTATTGATTAAATATATATAATGTCCTTTGCAACCTTAAGAACAGTAAACGAATGATAGTCACCATCATGTGTAATGATATTAATGGTAATGAATTTCTGGATCTTAAAAATATGCTGACTCCAAACATCAATTGTTCTAATACAAACAATAATGTGTACAAATACGAGTTATTGTTTTATTATACCCAAGAAGAGGTAGTACACAATGAGACAAAAGTAACAATTTGGGTCATTTTTTTTATGTTTAAAAAATATATACACACAATTTTGTGAGGTTCTTCAAGACATATTTAAGAGTTGCAAACATTACAATTACTTACTAACTTCATAAGATACTAATTTTTTCTTTGAACGTATGTTTCTGCCTCAGTGTGTATCACTCATGGATCACGTTGTGGGAAGTCATAGTACACAATGAGAAGAAAAACGTCAACGTTTAGTTATTAAAACACACAAAAATGAAGTTAAATTAATCATTTTTATGAACAGTCATATTGAAATAAGGAAAATGAATGTTTTGTTGGAAATTATATTTTTAATGCAAAATTCATGCTGAACTTTGAATACTTAAATAACAAAAGAACGAAAAATACATGAAGATTTTACATTTAAAATCACGATGTTAAAAAATCATTTAAGTTTTGAAATTCGGTAAAATATTGAGTAGAACGGTAAAACAAAATATATCTTATATATTTCCAAAAAGTAAAGCGGTTTTAACGAAAGTAAGATTCCCCCTCTGCTTTGTAATACTTGTAAATTTATCTGCATTATATCAAAATGAAAATTTATCATTCTATAGAACTAACTGGCCATTGACCAAGCTGATACTGAGAATGATGAGTATTGTGAATGTCAACAGTTAAGGGTAGCTGAGCTTCATATTTGGTTTCACGGAAAAATCCCTTTCCATAAAAAATACAAAAACATTATTTAATTTCAATTTCAACATGAGTCTATTCAAAATTTTTGGCTCAACACTCTTCATTATGAATTCATTTTGAATTTTCAAATTTCTTCATTTTGAATTATCTTATATTCTAGCTGTGTTTTACTTTCACTAGTCAAAGGGCATTAATCAAGAAAACATTTAGCAGCGGAATGTTTTAAACAAAGATTAACATTTTCTTGATTTTCTCAATATAGACTACAATGGAAAAGCCACACTTTGAAAAGATTAGACCCCTCAGATTAAGTGTTATCAGCCAAGCATTTCATTTTTAACATTTGTTTGGTGGTGTTCCAAGTGAGTTTAAAAGGACTTTTTTTGTTTAGAAATAAATATTTTTAAAAAAGAAATAATTTTTTCTTGTAATATTTTGGGTGTTATAGGTTCTACTCCATGCCGGCTGCTATATCTTTGAGAAATCTCCCACAAGCCATGGGGTGGCCCAAACACGCGCTGCGCCTAGCTCAAAGCGTTAAACAATGCGCGAGCAGTGCAGAAGTGGAACATCTGTTAATTGGTTATCTCCATACTACATAGCATAATTTTAACTTTAATTAAAGGTTCTAGGCTCAAGCTGGTATCAAGCTTCCATGGCTACATTAAACACGTTTGATGTAATTGGTCTCGTTGAAACTTGGTGGAAGGAGGTGTAAATGTTCACTGTGTCTGGTTTTGGGCAGCGCATATGCAAAAATTAAAAACGGAGACGGAGAAGGGTCGGTAACCCGGGTGGTGTAGCGTGCGGTTTTCGGACTAAGGCTTAATTCAGTTTTATTAATGGAAATTAAAACATAACTCAGACAATTCCTTGTATTAGACTAGTAATGGCATATGTAGATATTGCCGATTGTGTTTTATCATACCGTACCCACAGGGTTCGCGTTATTACACTCCAGAATCCTTCGACGAAATCAATGATTTTCTAGATTACGTTAAAGCTGAGGTACCCGAGTAGCTAATTTACTAGTGTTTAGGGATATGAATGCTGCGAATTGGGCAATGAGCAGGAAGTTTTTTTCGGATTCGACGACAAGAAGCGGGAGAGGCGAATTCCAGAAAAAAAGCAAAGACTCTGTCATCAATTAATGATGGGGCAAGGAATTTGCTAGAATTATGCGAAAGCATTTAATCTGCGAAATCTAAAATGGCAACTATGGAGCAGGATTCGGAAGGGTAACTAACTTTTATTAGTGGGAATGGAGATAGTGTAATAGATTACGCTCTATTGTCGCGGGAAAGTATACACAATTTATTGATTTATGGAATCGATTACGGGCAGAAATCTGATCAATTTGCCTGTGTGCGTGCATTTAGCAGTAAAGTGCTTCTGCAACTGCAATCGCAGGGGAGCAGGCGGCAGGAGCAATGAAAACTTGACAATAGGTAAGACAACGGTTTGTAATGGAAAGAGGAAAAGGCGACAGGAATTTGTACAGAGTATTCTTACTCGGCAGGCCTGGGCGCGAGACGATTAATTCGCCGGAAACGCAAACAATGTACTTAGAAGGACGGCTCCTACCGCGCAGGGAGGGTAATGCGAGGTGGGGGTAGAGGAGGAAAGGGTACTGACGCCAAGGTGGTTTACGCGAGGAGTGGTCGGGAGAACCAGGCGCGAAACTAATAAATACGCCTTAAAGAATTCAGAACCTCGGGAACCGAGGTAAGTAGAAACAAGTTATTTGTTATTTACGTTGGCAGTATGAGGCCACAATTAAGAAATCGAAGAAAATCGGGCAGGATAGTGGAGGCAGCAAGAATACAGGGCAATTCTAAGAAAACGATTATAGTAATCAATTTGGAGATCGTTTCAGAATCGCCTGGGCTAATAAATAAATTCAAGTAAATGCAAATTTCAGCAGAAACGCGTGGGTGCAGTATATTTTCAGCGGACGTTCGCAAGTAGGGACCATTGAAAAGGGCCAAGGTATTTTCACTGACTGGACAGTGTGGCCTGAATTAGACGAACCTCTAACCTGGAATGAAGTAAATAGGGGCTTTCCTAACATGGAATAATAAGAGCAGGCGGCGGCGGACGGCATTTTCCGACAAAATTTATTTCGGAATTGTGGCAAAATAGAACCCAGAGAGTGTTAATGAAGTTGTTTAATTGCAATTGCTGATTCCGGCTCGTATCCAGAAACGTGGAGTACAGGCTATCCTCCACCCAATTTTTTAAGAATAAAGGGGATGTGAACTGCCGCACAAAATTATCGTCGAATTAGCTTTTGCCTAGCGCCTGAGCAAACCTGTTCTGTAAAATACTCACGGGCGAACTGACGTAGAATGGGCGGAAAAAGTACGGTAAAAATAATCAGAAATACAAGCAGCTTTAGGAGAGGCTTCGCGAAAACCGACAATATATTTGTGATAGATACTCTAGTAAAACGGCGCTTGCGCGTAAACCGGGCCACTTATATTGCATGTTTTGTGTGGATTTTGAAAGGCTTTTGACTATCAGTAGGGAAGCTTTATGGCAAAACAATATGAGCTATGGCGTCTTCAACGTTAAGTTTTAAAAAGTGTTGGCGAGCATTATTAGGGGAAGTAATTTCTGCGTCAGGGTGCGGTGGACGGAAGTACAACGCAAAAAAATAAAATGCGACAGTAGGAGTAAGACAGGGATGTCCTCTTTCACGCTACTGTTTAACTTGTTTAAAAATGATTTATTGACATGGGTACAGGAGCGGATAAGGGCTCCGGTAATTGAATGGCCTGAAAATCCCCGGACTACTAATATGGCGGATGATTTAGTTTTGTTTTGCTGGAGACGAATGAGGGCTTACGAAGAGTTTTAATATTTTAGACACGGCTTATAGTGAGACATGGGGACTAAAGTAAATATTCAAAAACAAGTAGTAGTCTTTCAAGAATGGGTTTTATTTGGGGTAGCAAAGAGAAATGGTAGCTACGCTAGGGAATGAAATTGACCGCGTCAA